CTTAACTGATATCATGAATAATCCTGTGTATTAAGATTGAATTAACTGATATAAACCTTGTAGAAGGGACGTTTGGTATATGATCTCGGATTTGCCGGTACACATAAGTCAGCACGCTGGGGCCGGTATTGAATCGTCGTTTTCCAGCAAGTTATACATTAGCGGAGGCATTGACAGGGATTATGTGTGCATGTCAAAGGTTTACTGCTATGATACGATATTGGAGAAATGGTCTGCTTGCGCCCCGTTGTTGAAGCCACGAGCGGATCACGTGATGCTGGGTATAGGTAAGTTAAACAGTGACAATAAAAGAAAAAAGAAAAGCTAAATAAAAAAATGAAAAAAAATTAAAAGAAAAAAAATACAAATAAATAATGAAAAAAAGGTAAAAAATAAGGAAAATAAAATAAAAATAAATTAATAAATGTTAAGTTAACTGTTTATAGCAGAAATGTTAAATTTTAGGAAAATATTTGTATGTTTGTGGAGGCTGGACACAAGAAGAGAATGCTAGAGCACTGCTGGACACTATAGAGCTTTATGATCCTGATACCAACACTTGGACGGTAATATTAATGTTTTATTATTTATATTAATTTTATAACAATTTTAATGACTACCAACATTTATTGACAACGTAAAATAAAACAACACGTTATTGAGTCTACCCCACGTCTACCCTACATCATATTTTTGCACGTTTTGAATAAAATTAGAACGGCACTGATAAACCGGAATTTAAGTCGGCCATTTTGAGGACCTCGTCGTGTTCGATCTAAGATTTTTGGTATGCTCCTTTCTTAATCTTTTTATTCAATGGGTGTGTCTAATTTTTTTTAAAGGAAAATCAAAAAGTTAGCGTCCGCGTCACCAAAATACCGTATGATCGAAAAAAACGGCGCCAGAGACGTCTGATTAATGACAATCGGTTGTTTTATCAAGGTCAATCTCTAGATGTAAACTCTTACTAAAAATTGACATAAAACTGTCAAAATTAACACAAATTTTTGAGAGATAAAAAAAGGATAGAACTAGTTTCCAGACATTATTTAATTCCTCGCCAAAATTATCATCGATTTTCATTTCCCAGCTTTCTTTGACGCCTTTTTTTTTCGATCGTATACGTTTGATATATAAACATGCATAATTTACAGGAAATTACTAAGGTACCGACTCCAAGGTACCACGCGGGTATAGTTTGCGTGGAGAACAAGATCTACTTCATTGGCGGGTTCCACAGCGACGCCATGTTTGACAGAGACACAGCGGCCATAGAGTATTATGACATAGATACCAAAATGTGGACTGTAGAGAACAAATACCCCCAAGACGTGTGGGAGCATACTTGCGTCACGTTGTGCATACCCAAGTGCAGAGACGATATGGAGGTGATACCAGCAGCCGAGAGTTTCGTTTAGATATACAGGGTGATCGTAAATAAGTGTCCATCATTTTTTATTTGCCATTTTCATAGGAGTCATTGAATGAAAGGACCAAGGTAAGGGTATTTTAATCATTAGTAACATTTAATGTTATTAATGATTAAAATTGTTAAATATACTTCTGATAAAAATAAATAATTTAACATAATTATTTAATAACAAAAAAAATGGGTACGCTACTGGAACAACTCAGTCAAATTGACGTTTCCTAATTGTTTTTGACAAGTAGTAAGCACAAGTAATTATTTTTGAAGTTTCTAATATTATTCACAATATTGTGGCCCTAATTCAAGACCTGACACAATGTCTCTCCAGTCTTAGATACTTTGCACAAAACCAGTTATAAAATAAACAAAAATTAACGTAAAGTAAGCTTAGAAATGCCAAAAAAATCAAATCAAATTCTAATGCCTATTTCTTCTGTAATATATTATGAATATAAAAATAGTCTTTTTAGTCCCTCCTTAGTCTTTTTGATCAGTGGTAGGAATACTTATTAACTTATTATTTTTTAAGTCTATCAATTGCCATTCCCTTACTTTAGCTATTCCTTTGCTCAAAAACAAGAACAAAATTATTAACTGAAACTTACGAATTGAGAAAAAAACGGTGTCAGGGTTGGTTTGGAAATAATGATTGTTAAAATTATATGATGAAAGTCATCGATCGTTGTTCCAAGCCCACCGTGACGCCTTTTTTATTATAGTATTTTCACAGAATAAGGAATTATTTTGTGATATTTTTATGTACATTTGGAAGTTATTTTTAATTTTCAATTATTGTGTTTTTGTCACTTGTAAATATTGTAATATAAATAAAATTATTTTATAAGTAATTCTGTTGTATTTTTCTTATTTTTTACCATATTGTCGAAAAAAAAGTGTCATAGTAACCGTTGAAAATAAAATTATTTATCATTTCTTTCGGGTCAATCTCTATTAATTTTATTAAGAATTGACGTTAATATTTGTCAAAAATTAACCTATTTTAAACTAACAGTTCTAATAATCAAGCCACTGTAACCTCTTTTTTTTCCACCGTACTTTTATTTTTGGATTGTCGTAATTTGATTATTTCTTTTAATTTCAATATAAGTAACGAAGAAAAAAACGGCATCACAGTAACCTGTGAAGTTATAATAGGTGATAATTTCTTTCAAGTCGAGCTCTATATTAAAAATTACGGCTGGGGACTGAAAAAAAGTATATTTAATACCGTATGATAAAAAAAAACGGCGTTCAGTTGGCTTCGAAATGAACATCGATGGCATTCTCCGTCCCCAATAATTTTACATATAAAATGACAGCGATCTTCATTTCATAACCATCGCTGACGCCTTTTTTTCGATCAAATTTTTAATAAACGACATTCGGAGTTCTGATCAACAGAAGATATCGATATGGTCGTGTCAAAAGGTAGCGCGACGTCGTTTTTTCTACATCATACAAAGAAAAATTGAAAAAATTACTTAAAACTCACAAAAACTGATTAAAACGTTCTATATAGAGCCGTATATTAATTTCAAAAAGTAATTTAACTCAAGTAAATAAATACCGTATGATCGAATAAAAACGGAGTCCAGTTGGCTTGGAAATGACGATCGATGGCATTTCCTATATAATTTTACATATAAAATGACAGCGATCTTCATTTCATAACCATCGCTGACGCCTTTTTTTCGATCAAATTTTTAATAAACGACATTCGGAGTTCTGATCAACAGAAGATATCGATATGGTCGTGTCAAAAGGTAGCGCGACGTCGTTTTTTCTACATCATACAAAGAAAAATTGAAAAATTACTTAAAACTCACAAAACTGATTAAACGTTCTATATAGAGCCGTATATTAATTTCAAAAGTAATTTAACTCAAGTAAATAAATACCGTATGATCGAATAAAAACGGAGTCAGTTGGCTTGGAAATGACGATCGATGGCATTTCCATATATATTTTACATATAAATGACAGCGATCTTCATTCCATAACCATCGCTGACGCCTTTTTTCGATCAAATTTTTTAATAAACGACATTCGGAGTTCTGATCAACAGAAGATATCGATATGGTCGTGTCAAAGGTAGCGCGACGTCGTTTTTCTACATCATACAAAAGAAAAATTGAAAAATTACTTAAAACTCACAAAACTGATTAAAACGTTCTATATAGAGCCGTATATTAATTTCAAAAGTAATTTAACTCAAGTAAATAAATACCGTATGATCGAATAAAAAACGGCGTCCAGTTGGCTTGGAAATGACGATCGATGGCATTTATAATTTTACTATATAAAATGACAGCGATCTTCATTTCATAACCATCGCTGACGCCTTTTTTCGATCAAATTTTTCGATAAACGGGTATATCGGAGTTCTGATCAAAATCTATGTTGTTTTCAGTTTTTATTATTTCAAACGAAACCCCATTTCGAAAATTTACAGGGCGTGACATTTTAGTTCGCCGTTTTCCCGACAGATGGCGCGGCGGTCGAAATGTCGAAGCGATCAAAATACAAAATACGATCTGCGCGGATGCCTGACAACCAGCGTTGCCAATCTTTGTGGAATTCCACAAAATGTGTGGAATTCGTAACAATGTTGTATGGAACGTTGTGGAATAGAATAAATGTGGAATTTTGTGGGAATTTTTCGGAATTATTCCTTTTTTTCTTTTTTTTCCTTATTTAGCTAATAGTAAAAAACATTTATAGGACTCATAATTATTTTACAGATTTCTGTAAAAGAGCGTCGCAAATCGAGGTTCGATATGGTCGTGTCAAAAGGTAGCGCGACGTCGTTTTTTCTACATCATACAAAGAAAAATTGAAAAATTTACTTAAAACTCACAAAAACTGATTAAAACGTTCTATATAGAGCCGTATATTAATTTCAAAAAGTAATTTAACTCAAGTAAATAAATATATCAAATTATTTTCAAAATCTATGTTGTTTTTTAGTTTTTAGTATTTCGGCAAACGAAACCCCATTTCGAAAATTTACAGGGCGTGACATTTAGTTCGCGATTTTCCGGACAGATGGCGCCGCAGTCGAAATGTCGAAACGGATCCAAATATAAAATTTACTGGACCATCTGCGCGGATGCTGACAACGACAGCGGCAGGTAAAGCAAGGCTGCGAACTCCGATCCTCGAGTCGATTGCCAGCAGACAGTATAATCATTATTCCGTGCTTTGGATGTTCATTAATACACCTCCAGTCCGTTTACTATAAACTTGTGTTTAGTTGTGCCGTGTTTGCCTACGAACTTTCGTCGTGAAACAACACAGTTCAGTTGTTATTCCTACACAGACTGATTGTTGATATTTTTTGTGTGCGGTAGTGGCCTGAAATGCATCGATAGTCTAGTTGACTCTACGTACAGTGTGTTTGATAATAATATTTATAACGACCAGTGCTATTATAATACAGGAACTGTTTCCCACTTCTGTGCATATAGGAACATCAGGGTAATGAGGAAGTAATGTCCTAATGGAATACCGTTCATTCAGGCTGACGGATACGTTTTTTTCGACAATACCAGTGCTCTTACGGGATAGGATTAGTTTAATCAAGACATCAGTATAATGTCGGGATCACTAATGAACAACGACGACCACAGGTTGAATAGGGAGAGCGGAGATGATTCAGAGGACGAGAGCGAGATCCTGGAGGAAAGTCCTTGCGGAAGATGGCTAAAAAGGCGAGAAGAGGTAAGTCTTTATTCATTTTCCCTATTTTTTCATCGTTTTTCCATGCAACAGATGCATTTTATAACCTTTTTTCAAACCACCCGGCATCCATGTTGCCTGTCACGTCAATCGGGGTGAAGAGAGTCATTTGTTTTCTTCGATCTAACCTCAGTCAAGTTAGCAGCCGGCATCCATTTTGTCCCCGGTCGCAAGATTTTAATTCCTTGTGGCCTTTTCGCCCCTCGATACGGGCCGCATGTGCCTCTTTGACGTCACGTTTATCGATTCGTCGGAAGTTTTGCACTGGCGCCTACGATTTCGACGCCGCCGGACGAGATAAAACGAAAAAAATGCCGGGGCCTAGTAAAGTTGCAGGCCTGCTCCGATAACCCCACGCTTTTTACGTGTGTGATATCGGTCTGTAGTTTAAATCGGGTTCGTTTACCTTTATAATGATTTTCAAGACCGGTCCAGTTGTTGGAGTATAGTTTTGTCCACTTCTAAGTTATAAGGTTTGAAATTTATGATATTTTTATGTATTTTTGACAGTATTCATCAAGGTTTGATCCATCTCAGGTTTGGTCTTCTTCTAGGTCTCTTATTTACCAAGCTGTAATTTTTGTGGTCCATCTGTTGTCCGTCCTCCTTGCCAGGTGTCCTGCCCATTGCCAGTTGAGGGATTTGATTCTGTGGATGACATCTATTATTTGGGTCTTTTGTCGTATCCACTCTATTCTTTTACGGCTTTTCTTGGTTATTCCGAGCATATTTCGTTCCATTGAGCGTTGTACGACCTGCAGTTTCCTTTATAATGTCCGTTTTAAGTGTCCAGGTTTCACATTGGTCGAATGTTTTCTTCTTGGTGGTATTCTAGATTTAAATATGATTGACTTCCCTCCATAAGTACTCCACGCTAACTTAATTCTTCTGTTGATTTCTGGTAGTAGAGATCCAGAGCTACACAGGGTGGCCCATCGAAAACGTTCCGCAAGGCATAACGACCAGGGTAATTTTTTTTTTTCAGAAAATTCAAAAACGCGTCAATTTTGTTTGTGAGGGGGACAACTTTTGCCCCAAAAATGATTGCAAAATCTTCAACCCTTTAAGCGGGGGCGTCATAACCCAATTTTTTTCAAATGGGAAGGAGGGTCAAGTGGTACCGCAATGAAAAGGGCTTTCTATTCTCTATACTTTCCGGCTTCGTTTTTGAAAATCGGTCGAGTTATTGAGAAAATATGAAGGATTGAAATTTGAAAAGTTTATTTAAACATTTATCAGAGTAAATGAAAAGGATAAATTTCTTCCACCAATTTGCTGTTTTTTTCATATTATTTCTAGATGTTTACGCATTTTTTCACTTGTCACAAGGTTGAACGATCAGGTGCGGTAGTTGCTAGATAGTTGTTCTGTGACTTATGCGTTGAAGTTCTTCAATATCGTTAAATTTACGCAACAATTAAGTTGTCCCACTTGCAGAAAAAGTGGAAATAATCGAACTTTTGGATTTTTTGAACAAATGAATGCCCTGGCAATTATGCCTTGCAGATATTCAATGAACGCCATCCTGTACATTAATTGTTCCAAATAGATATCTTCTTCTACTATTTCCAGTGTTGTGTTATTTATTGACATGTCTTTTTTGTCTACTAGTTCGTTCTACATTCTAAAAGAACTAAAAGTAGGAGAATTTATAAACGTATATATAGTGGTATTATAATTATGGAATCTAGCCTGTCCTAAAGTCAAAATTAAGCATGATAAGCTATTAATACGAATTCTATTCGTAGAAGTCATTCATTGTGAAAAAAAGTAGATATGTAACGATTGTCCTTATCAGGTAATAAGTGAACAATTGTATTCTCTTATCAAAATCTATAAAAAATGTATGATTTGATCTCTTATCTTTCAGTTAACCCAACAAGAATAAAAATTTTTGTAAAACAAATGATAAATGATATATTGCCACTAGCGAATATAAATGCATAATAGCAATAAAAAATTACTAATAGAGTGGTGGTTGCAATTTATAATCTTGATAACGGAATCTACATCTTCATCCCAGTCAAATGCGAACCTATTGAGTCAACATTCCTTGTTCAGCAACTAACAATTATTTGCGTCGCGAGTGCTTTAGGTCAAGTCAGTACCTGTTAGGGAGATATTGCTGTTAAAGATTTTGGAAAAACCTGGTCAAAATCTTTTATTTTTTTATCTGTGAAAACAAAGAGATAGTCAATTAAACTTTTCAATTAACCAAGCACAACTGTTATGACAACCACACTTTATGGTAAAATTGTTCGCGAGTTGTAGCAAAGTGTCCAAAGGATATTAAAAACGGAAAGTTCCACCCGTACAAAAATTCAGTTGGTACAAGAACTCAACGAAGACGATTTTGATCTTCGCTTGCAATTTTGTGAAACTATGAGTGAACGAGTGGCGAATGATAATCATTTTCTATTTAATGTGTTTTTTTGATGAGTGTACTTTCTTTTGAGCGGTGTAGTTAATCGGCACGAACTGGTCGGTACTGGGCTGAAGACAACCCCAGGGTTTTTCATACGAGGCACACACAAAACCCCCAAATAAATTGAACGGTTGGGCTGGTATTTTTTGAAATTCTATTGTGAGTCAGTTTAACGATATTGAGAAGAACTTCAACGCACAAGTCACAGAACAGCTATCTAGCAACTACCGCACCTGATCGTTCAACCTTGCGGCAAGTGAAAATGCGGTAAACATCTAGAAATAATAAGAAAAACCTCAAATTGGTCGAAAGAATTTATCCTATCCTTTTACTCTAATAAATGTTTCAATAAACTTTTCAATTTCCGATCCTTCTTCATATTTTCTCAATGACTCGATTTTCAAAAAACGAGGCGGGGAAATATAAAAGAATAGAAAGGTCTTTTTCATTGCGGTGCCACTTGACCCCCCCTTCCCATTTGAAAAAATTGGGGGATGACAATTCCCCGCTTAGAGGGTTGAAGATTTCGCAATCATTTTTGGGGCAAAAGTTGTCCCACTCACAAACAAAAATTGACGTGTTTAACGTTTTCGATGGGCCACCCTGTATATTACTTGGGCTCAAGTTTCGCTTTAGCCGAAATCAGTTACATAGAATATCGGTTTATAGGATGATTCTATACAAGAAAACTAGCACTACATAATTGATTTTTGCCGCGGAAATTCTTTGTTTTGAGTAAACTCGAATTTTTAATTTTCTATTATTAACTAAAATTTAAAAACTTTACGGTGTTTTAAAAGTTTTTTCTCTATTATAGAATGACGTAAAAACATTTAATTCAACGATGTGAACTAATTTTTATCACAATAATTTTCATTGATTTTTCCGGATTTAGAAGTGCCGAAATGCGATAGAAAGATAAAACTACACATTTTTGTTTGATTAATAATTTGCTATAACTTTTCTATATAACTATTTCCGCGGAATGTATCATAGGTGGTGTAATGGAAAATCTTCAATATTCTGAAGTTTTCCATAGTATTCTCTTACTTTTTGCATACTTTCGGTTTGGTTTGGTTTGGTTGTTTTTATTGATTTGGTCGTAGTGGGTTTAGTTGGCTTGGTTTGATTTGGATGTTTAGTTTGTTTGGTTTGGTTTTTATCTCTTGTATTTTTTGATAAAACTCTGCTATTTGACAATTTTTTTTAATGTAAAACATTACCATGTCAGGACAAAAAGTTTTTCTGATAAAGAATCTAGTAGATCTGCTGTAATTTTTTAGGGAAAAAATCTAGTCACCCGCATAGTGGTGAAAAGGATGTTCCGCGGATATTCATTTTATTTATCATTACTCTACTGCAATACGTTATTATAAAGATGATTATTATTATCGTTATTATCACTAGATTCTTAATCTAAAAAACCCTTTTTGTCCTGACATGTAAACTATTACATTTTATTTTTTTATTTCGTATCGGTGAGTTTATCAAAAAAACCTAAAATAGGTAAAAACATTAATTTTTCATGTATGTCATTTCGTTACTTTTAAACCGCATTCAAAAAACTGGTGCCTGCATTTTCTTTTTTTAACAGATTTCGGCTAAACGAAACTTGACCCATTAATTGTTCCAAATAGATATCTTCTTCTACTATTTCCAGTGTTGTGTTATTTATTGGAATGTCTTTTTTGTCTACTAGTTCGTTCTACATTATTTTTTGCTAAATTCTTTTTCAATTTATAAAAGTACTTATATGGTATTAAATTATGGAAGCTAGCCTGTCCTAAAGCCAAAATTAGTTTATAGATAAGTTATTAATAGCTTAATTCTATTCGTGGAAGTCATTCATTGTGAAAAAGTAGAGTGTAATTTTATTGTCCTTATCAGGTAATAAGTGAAACTTAGTGTGTTTTCTTAACAGTAATCTATATAAAATGTCATGAGTCTATCTCTTATCTTTTCAAGTTAAACCAAAGAATATGTATTTCTTTGTTGTAAAACAAAATGATCTGAGAATGATATATTGCCATACGAAAATAAAGCAACTATTTTATTTTGAACAAAATCCCTCAGTAGAATAAGCTTGTTGTAATTTAGTACGTTGATATTAGCATATATAGAAAAAAAAAGTTTTGATATGTTGAGGTTATACGTACTAAAAGGAGACTTTTTAAAATCAAAAGAGTTCCTAACTGTAAAGTGTGAGCTTCGCCCCCAAAAACCACCCCCAATACGCACTGCGGTGGTTTTTCTCGTTTTTCTCGAAAACCATTAGTCACATATACAGAATATTGTAGCTAAACGATTAGATTTTTGCAAATTGTAAGGTTTGGGTTCGTTGAAGGACTATTAGAGCTACAATTTAAAAATATTTTTACAAGATACAGAGTGTCCCAAATAAATAAAAAAATATCAAAGTTGCATTTTTTTAAATGGAATACCCTGTATATTATTACACTTTTAATTTCTACGATTAAAATAAAGGTAAATTTAATTAAGGTTTATTGCACTTAAACCTTACCGTTTTTGAAATATTTTCAATTTTGTGAAATTGCAG